GGCACTTAGAGGACTATGGACTTGTACCCTACTATAAGTATTGGGTACGGATGCTTAGCTGTGCAATACAACTTATGTGTAAATTTGGTATTTCTTAACTAACGGTACCATAAAATTTTTGATAAGGATTTGGAATTTGGTGGAGCCCGTACATAGCGGCAGAATCCACTACGGAATGGAACTGAATTTAAAATAAAAGAATTCAGAGATTCGTGAATTCCGAGGACGGAATTTCTTTTGTTAGGGGGGGAAGAATGTAAAACCCCTAATATTTAAAAAGGATATAGTTGTAATTTAAATTAAATTTTCTTTGAATTTTGTTTCATTTTTATTTAATGATGTGGATTATTTGGTTTATATACATTTAAATGTGATTATTTGGTTTTACGCTTAATTGTAATTGTCTATTTGTTTTAATTTAATTGTTTGTTATAATGTGATTATTTGGTGTTGTGCTTAATTGTAATTGTCTATTTGTTTTAATTTAATTGTTTGTTATAATGTGATTATTTGGTTTTGCGCTTAATTGTAATTGTCTATTTGTTTTCATTTAATTGTTTGTTATTTTTTTTTTTTATGTGTCGTATATTTAATTTAGAGTTAGGGTTTTATTTTAGGAGGTTGTGGTAGCCGACTTATAGTTAGCTGGGAATTAAAAATTAGGTCTTAGTAAGTGCTTATATATATATAATCTTTTACGTTTGCTAGGGTTAGGAAAAACAAAACCCTATTCACGTATTGTGAGATAGAGAGATACAGAGGCATGTAATGGTGTTTGAGGGAAAAACAGAGGGGAGCTTGAGACTGAGAGAACCACCAGATGGGATTTCAGCCATGGACTGTGGGTTGAACCAAGGAAGGATAGAAGGAGTGTTGTTCGTGTGAGGAACCAAGGAGGAAACAGAGAAGTTAGAACAGTGCGTGATCGCCGAAAAGTCTAGGAAGACGGCGTAGAGATTTTTAATTCAAAAATCTCTAAGGCAAGTTTTATTCTATCTCTTTCCTGTAAACTTGTGTTCTGTGCATTCTATATAGCCTCTAGGAATCTAATTTAATTTAAAACTGAGATTTATGCATGATAGATAGGTTGAAAACTGTCTGACGAGATTGTAACCATTAATTTGTTTTGTTTTGCATAAACTGTTTTGGTTATGATTTAAACTTCTGAAAATTAATTTGTAATGGAAGTTAAGGAGTTTCTAGGATGGTTAGGACATAAATTGAACCCTTAAAATCTTTAAGAAACTTAGAACATACAGTTGGAACTTTTGTAACTGAAACTGTCTTATGTTTTGTAATTGTAACTTGTTTTGGCATAAATTGTTCTGTTCTTGTTTTTAGTTTTTGACAAATAATTGGTAGTGGAAACAAAGGAGTTTTTAGGAGTATTAGGGCTTAAAGTGAACCCTTAAAATCCTTAAGAAACTTAGAACAGACAGTTGGAGTTTTCGCCGGAAACAAAGACGAAGAACAGAGGAAGCAGAGAAGGAAAAACGGAGGCTGGGAAAATGGAGGCGGCTCCACCCTTCAATGGAGGCTGCTCCATTGAAGTAGAGCCGGCTCCACAAGATGTTGAGGCGGCTCCAATTTTATAAAGTGCCCAGTACGTGGATTTTTGTTACTCCAGGGGTTAAAAGGCTAGTTTAAACTTGGATGGGGGTTCTTAAATGATGTTTATAACACCTTAAAGACCTAGGATTATTGGTGTAGGCTATGGGAATAGACATGATGAAATATAGAAAAATAATATGCATGCTGTCAAAGAAGGAGGAAGATTTAAATTGCTAGTTGTTTTAATAAATTAAGTAGACTGAATTGAAAGGTAATTATGGGATTTTATATCAATAACTTATATAACATTATTAAGTCACAGGAATGTTGGTTCCTACTATAGTTATAGACATCATGAAATTTAGATACTAAATTATATGTTGTCAGGAAGAGTGGAAGTTGTAATTGCTAGTTTCGCTTTAGAAAACTAAACGGACTAGTATGGAGGTGGTTTTGGCATTCAAATATAATGTGTTCAGTTTATACTTCTGTGTATCAATATATTATGCTCTGGAGTTATATTTGAGGGTTACATGACGTCATGAGATTTAAAGATTAACATGCATGCCGTCAAGGAGATAGGAGGGTGTGTTTACTAGCCTTTGTTTCAGTAATTCAAACGGGCTAGTATGGAAATATCGGTTGGGAATTTTAATATAATGTGGTCAGTTTAGAATTCTGAAAATCATTATATCATGTTATGGATGTTAATTGCTGAACTAATATACTTCCTGTTCTATCAATTATATGGGTAATGGATGGTTTAAATTGTTTATCATTATTCTAGCAATTTGAACGAATGTTCGTGATATTAATCATATACTAGATGTATAATAGACTCATACAAATATCTGATTTCTATTATGTTTGTCTTTGGATGTATTTGATATTCAATTGAGTGTGCATCATTTATGGATCATTTGCATTATATGTACCGGTATGGGACGGTGACATATCAGGGATGGATTAGAACAAAAAGCTAAGTCCTACCCCTTCATACATATGGAATGGATTAACTAAAACAGTTAACTCCTACATGGATGCATGTCCTGTCAACTAAAACAGTTGAACGATATAATGGATAGTTGCTTTATATTTCTGTATTAGGAAGGATTTAAATATATACTTATGGTGCCGTGATACGAGCTTGAGTCTCCTGATCATGGTTATGGTGCGTATATCGCCTAGGATTGATAACCAGGCCTGATGATGTTTCCCTTGTTGTTCTACTGGGTTGAGGCGGATTATGTGGGTTGGTGAACGTCCTATAGTGTGTACTTGTATCTATATGGACTACTTTAGCTATTGTTGAGCTATCTATGATATATCTGCGTATCGGGTTTATATATGGATTGTAGTAGCATGAAACTTGCATGTGGGCCTGACCCACCCTTATTTTTCAGGTGTTTAACAGTACCAGGTTTAAAGCTTGTTCATGGGGATGCAGATACAGTCACTCACTCTTCCGACTAAATAGAATTTTCTTTCTGACTTTAGTTTTGGATTTTAATTTTGTAAAGTTTTATCATTTGGGATTATTAGGGGTCCACTAGTTGGATTCCCGAGTTGTACGGAATTAAAGGTTTAAATTTTATTAAACTTTTATTTGGAGATTTTCGTATTTAGATTTCTACTCAGCTTATTATTTATTTTTTATTATTTTGTTTTGTATTCCTGCTTGCTTACATATTAACAGTTGGTAACCTTCGGATCTGTGCTCGGACTTGATCACCCGTGGCTCTAGAATCGAGGGGTATCATAGGCTGTCCTGTTGTGAATACGTGGGTACGAATGACATTGGTTTGTACGTTGTCTTTCAGTTTTGGGATTGCTTTCGTAGCATGTTGTATGGGATACTCGGAGATGTACTCCATAGTTATCCTGGTTTTGCCTTTTGTTTTGTTGGGCTGGATTTCGGGGATGAAATCCCTTTAAGGTGGAAAGGTTGTAATGACCCGGTCATTTTTCTTCATTTCCTTTTTCTTAGATTTTTACGGATATTTGTTTTTCCGTTGTCTTTTCTTTTCGGCGTTTGGTTTTTTGTCACTTGGTGTTGTCTCGAGTATTCAGAAATGATTTCTGAGACTCTTTCCTTTGGATTGACAACTTCCTTTAAGGACCGAGTCTTTTCCACATTTTTATTTTTTGGACACTATTCACTTTTCGTTTTTTTCCCGTTTGTCACTTTGTTGGCACAACCTCACTTTTCGTGTTCGGATTTGATTCCAGTTTTGCATGCACCCACAATATTTAAATTCCGTGCTATGTGTATTTTTACTTTTGTAGAAAAGTATGCTAGTTACTTACTCTTTCGTAAAAATGGTATGAATGCATGGTTTCTTAGAAACATTATTGATTTTTGGAGTTTTTGTGTAATTACTTAAAGTACTTATTTTTGTCTTGAGGACCACTTTGTAATTAAGTTTGCAAGATATTTAAAGGAGGGACCTACTTGCAATTATTTTTAGGCTATTTTGTGATTATGGTTTTAAAGACGAGTTTTTGTTTAATTGACCAAAGTTGTGTGTGTTGACCGTGGTGCTAGTTCACATCTATGTTACCTGGACTTGGGTACGTGTCTAGAGGTCGGATCCACCAATCTATTCAATTATAAGACATGGGGACACGGAATAAAAGTGTCCAAAATTCGGACACGGGTACTTGGACACGACATACAAAATATTAAAAAATGAAAAATCATATTAGTGATAATCTGATAGATTTAATCATATAGGCAACAAAACATGGCATAAGGCAGCAGACAGCAACTAACAAGATAACTTAGATAAGCAAGAGATGATGTTAATTCATAATTGTTAAATAAGTTAAATAACTAAATAAGTACCATATTGAATTGAGTCAATTGACTGAATTCTCACACTTGCACCACATAGATTCGGATTTCAGTCTTCACTCTTTAGTCACACAGCATACAGATACAACACCACAGGTCCCCGGTCAGACTCTGCACTTCAAAAGTTTGCACCTGAAAAGGCTGAAATATTATTTGAAATTTATGTTATATTGACATTAACATATAGTTATGAACTATTGAACTTATGAAAAAATAGAAAAAAATAAACAAATGCAAAATTGTTGAGTAGAACTGTATAAAGATTAAAGACAAAGATGTTAGAAACTTAGGAATCTTAGGACTTTAGAGTTTAGAATTTCATAATAAACTCAAAGACTTTAAACTTTAAACCATAAGGTCCATAATTATATCATTCATATCATAAAGTCAGACACTAACAAATTACCAATAGGCAATAGCAACAATACCAACTGCCAAGTGCCACCAACTACCAAGTCAGCAAGTACCAACAACTTGCAAGGCAACATTCCAAAAATTTAAAACAAAAGGCAAAAGTTATATCATAATTCATATGAAGAGATAACATAAGAAAAACAAAATCCAAAAGGTATAGTTCATCTTTTGCTTCATTTCTTCAATCCATCATTCCTTGTTGGAATTTAGTTAGTTCAGTCCCTAAGGTAGTACTCTTTTCAAACTCTTCATCAAATGTCATAAGCTCTAACTCAGGCTCATTGATGGAAAGCTCCACAAGTTCCCCAAAAGTATTATCATCAGTATCAAACCTATCACCACCTATTAAACAAAATAAATTAATAGTGATATAAAAATAAAAAAACAAAAAATGTAGTAGAAGAATATCTATGAAAGTCCTGTTGAAGATATTTAAATTTAAAAGTAAGTTTATGAACTTACACAAGACCCAATACTTTGTTGACCCTTCCTTGTATTCTTTCTTTTTTCTTGACAAGAGACGGAAGTTGCAATATACAAAGACCAAATCCTCAGCTCTACTTGTAGTCAATCTGTTTCTTTTGATGCTTTGAAGAAGAGAATATGTACTCCAATTTCTTTCGCAACAAGATGATGATGCGGGCTGTGAAAGCAACTCGAATGCTAAAGCTTGTAACATTGGTGTTAAAGCACTATGATTAGCCCACCATGAAATTGGTTCCTCAAACAATTTTGCATTAATAACATGAGGCTCATTAAAGTAACTAAATCCACTTGAAAAAGCTCCATATTCGATATAAACTTTTCGAAGATCATCTTGATTGCAAAATAATCGTTTGAAACATTTGCTTCTATTTAAAGAAACCTCTTGATCTTCATGTGGTGAGAGCCGTGGAACTCCATCACTTCCACCTCCAATCCAAGCTTCAATGTAGTATTTAGGGAACAATGAATGAGCCATACAATGCAGTGGATTGTTGCTTTTTTTCCATCTTGTCTCCAAAATATTGTGAATGATGTCAAAGAAATTAGATTGGCCAGTGAGCAGATCTTGGTTTTCATGTCCAAATATTCTATATTTAACTTTCTCAATCATTGTGTCCCATATATCATAAATCAAATGGAGAACAGGAGCATCAGTGTCTGCTAACCTTAGAAATTCAACAATAGGCTTAGTAAAATCCAAGAGATATTCCAAATTAGCCCACCAACTATCACTCACAATGGAAATTTTTACTTCCCTAGCCTTGATTTCAATTGCTGATTTTCCATCTCATTTTAGATACATTCTCCAACTTGGATCCATCACCATCTTCTCAAGTGCATCCTTCACTTCCCTCATGCGTTTTGCCATAATAATGCTTAATGCAAATCTTGTTTCCGTTATTTTTAGCAAACCCAATTCCGAGTAAGTGTTGAAAATTGAAAGTACCATGCCATGGTTAACAATGGAATTTCTTATATTTTGCACACTACTCACCAAATCAGCAATCCACTTACATTTAGCAAATTGAGGTGAATTTTCAGATGGTTCACAAATACTTTTTAAAGCTAAATTTAGGCAATGCAGAACACATTGAGTCCAAAATATGTGAGGATATATACCTTCAATTATGCCTCCAGCAGCCTTAAAGTTACTTCCATTATCAGTAATCTTAAACAACATTTTGTGAACCCACTTATTTGATCACGAGTTTGAACATATTTGCTACATAATTAGCATCATTTATGTTGCCACTTGCATCAACTGCCTTTAAGAACATTGCACCACCTACTGATGCAGCCATTATGTTTATCAGTGGCCTTCGTTGTCTATCCGACCACCCATCAGAACAAAGGGACATGGCTTTCTTTTTCCAAGTATCTTTTATCGGTTGGAGCTTGCGATTCATATGTGCTTTCTCATGTTAGAGGAGTATAGCTAGATAACTTGTTGTTGGCTAATGTGAGTGAATATTTTCTGAAGTGAGGGCACCTTGCCAAGTTGAAGGATAAACCAGACGCATAGAATATGCGAGCAGCTTGCTTATCTGCCATATCTCTTTGTGCTACATTAAATGCATTTTCCAGCACTCCTGGAGCTGATGCCCTTCTTTTTTTGCATTGCAACAAATCTGATCCTTTAGGCAAGGACAAATAATCTTCCTTCTTTCTCAAATTCAATTCTTCTTAAGCTTTTTTGCTTTCAAAATGGCTATGTTCCTTCTTTAATGCTTAAAATACATCATTATTGATAGACTTGCAAGCTTCAACCCCTTGATTAGGAATCTTTAATAAATGACCTTTGACTTTTGAATAAGATTCAGTAACCTTTTTGTTGCAGTAATTACAAGACCAGGTTTGTTTCCACCTCCACGTACTGGTAGGCTAAGAACCTTCACATGATTCCATAATGGTTTGTCATCAAATTCTGACCCCATAGCTTTTGATGATCGTATGTTTGCCTTTCCTTGAGATTGAGAGGACATTATATCCAAACTCTAAAGCACAAGTGTATATATAAATGCATGATATATTTAATGAACAGAATAAAACTTAAAAGAATAAATTATCAAAAAAAATTCTCAAAACTTAAAAGAATAAAATTATTCCAGTATTAGTTGATTCAGTTGTATCAGTTAATTCAGTTGTATAACCAATGAATGCATAAAGGAAATAGTATATATGGTTACTATATTCTTGGCAGAGACAATTGATTCTAACTGGCGCCTTCCCAAGTTACTAAAAGGTGGCTTTCGGATTTCTGACTATTGGCAGACAATTGATTCTATGAATAATGACCTTCTTCCTCTTTTTGTATGTCTTACTAGTTCTGCCATGAGAGAGAGAGAGAGAAGTTATATATACCTATTGTTATAAATTATAATGAACATAATAAAATTTAAAAGAATAAAATTATCAAAAAAATTCTGAAAACTTAAAAGAATAAAATTATTTATTGGAGGTGCATAAAATAAAATTATACAAGTATGTGTTGATTCAGTTGTATAATCATACAGAGAGAGAGAGGGAAGATATATATACCTGTTCAAGGGTTGTTTGTGTTGCAGTCTTGCAGATCAGAGTATATAGAATAGCAACATAAAAAATATACAGGTCGGAGTAACATAAAAATGGTGCAGGAAGAAGAGAGAGTAAAGATGAAAATGGTGCAGGTGCAGGAAGAAGAGAGAGAGAAGATGAGAATGGCGCAGGTGGCTGAAGCTCTTCTGAAAATGGTGGCGTGTAAGAATGGTGCACTGCTTTGAGCCACAAAATATGTCATAGTAACATTTAATGACTGACTAAGCCATCACCCCCAAACAGCCTTTTGATTGATATAAAATCTAATATTATATATAAAGTTAAAATTCAAACAACTTTCGCACCTGTGAATTTGTGATGATGTGAAGTCACAAAATTAGTGTATAGAATTAGCAACATTAATTTAATAATAAATATTTTATTTCTTTACCTATAAATGTAAGCAATTATTCTTAATTAAATGATGATGTGAAGTCACAAAATTAGTGTATGGAATTAGCAACATTAATTTAATAATAAATTTTTTATTTCTTTACCTATAATGTAAGCAATTATTCTTAATTAAATATTTCATTATCTAACTCAATTGATTACTATAGTCTCTCAATTACTATATAATTATCTATTGATTACTATGTCTCATGAACTTAATTACTATATAGTTATCTATTGATTGGTGATTATTATAGTCTTATTAGTTAACTATTGATTACTATAGTCTCATAAGTTCAATTACTATATACTTATCTGTTCATTCTTATAGTCTCAATAGTAAAGTAATGATTATTATAGTCTCGTGAGTTCAATTATTATATAGTTATCAATTGATCAGTGATCACTATAGTCTCGTTAGTTAACTTTTAATTCCATGTGTTTAATTATATAGTTATATAGGATCGCTATACTAGTATAAACTCCTTAATTCAATGTGTTTGATTCTATAGTTATATATAGATAACTATACTAGTGTGTGATTTTTAATTCAATGTCTTTAATTATATAGTCATATAGGATTACTATACTATTTTAGCCTCCTTAATTCAATGTATTTAACCATATAGTTATATATGGATTACTAAACTAGTGTGAGATTTTTAATTTCATGTGTTTAATTATATGGTTATATAGGATCACTATACTAGTATAGCCTCCTTAATTTCATGTATTTAATTATATAGTCATGTAGGATTACTATACTATTATAGCCTCCTTAATTCAATGAGTTTAATTAGGGCAAATATAATTCAATGTGTTTAATTATATAGTTATATATGAATCACTGTACTAAGTGTAACCTTCTTAATTCCATGTGGTGAATTATATAGTTAAATGCTTAAATATAAGCTTTTTTTTTTTTTTTAGTTAAATACTTAATTTTATTCTAATATTTTTGTAAATAAAATAAATAATTTAATGTGTAATTATTTATATAATTATCTTATTAATAATTGGGTATGTGAGATTTAAATAGAAAAGAAACTTAAGTAATATAAATTTAATTTTTTTGTTAGGATTCCGCATTCTGGATTCCTTATTGGATCTACGTTCGGTTCATCACAGGATGTGCTGGCCTAATTCTTGTCTAATTATTTTACTTTTTATATCAATTAATAAATATTTTTTTATATTAATAATTCTTGTCTAATTAGATTTTCTTTTAATATAAAAACTCATAATAAATAGATAAATAGGTAATTTATGTTAGAGTTTTATAGAAACTTTTTTAAAATCTCTTTTTATATCAATTAATAAATATTTTTTATATTAATAATTCTCGTCTAATTATATTTCATTTCATTAAAAACCTTATAATAAATAGATAAATAGGTAATTTGTGTTAGAGTTTATTGAAACTCTATAAATATATCATTGTCTAATGTGATAGAGTTTTATTGAAAATAAAACAGATAATTTGTGATAGAGTTTTATAAAAATTATTATTATTTTTTTAAATATATCATTATCTAATTATATTTTCTTTTATTAAAAAACACATAATAAAAAGGTAATTTGTGGCAGAGTTTTAGAGATATTATTTATTTTTTTATATCAATTCATAAATATTTTTTATATTTATATTTCTTATCTAATTAGATTTTCTTTTATTAAAAAATTCATAATAAATGCATAAATAGGGAATGGTATAGTTTTATAGAAACTCTGTTATAAAAATATTTTATTTTTTTTGAATATATCCTATTTAATTAGATTCCTTTTATTAAAAAAACTCATAATAAATAGATAAATACAGGTTACATGTGATAGAGTTTTAAAGAAAATAAAATAGGTAATTTGAGGTGGACTTATGTATAAATTATTTTATTTTATTCAAAAATATTCATAATAAATATGTAAATACAAGTTATATGTGATAAAGTTTTATATAAAATAAAATAGCTAATTTGTAGTAGAGTTTTATAGAAATTATTTTATTTTTTTCAATATGTTCTTGTTTAATTAGATTTTATTTTATTAAAAAACTCATAATAAATAGATAATGTCATAGAGTTTTATAGAAAATAATTTATGGTAAATTTTAAAGAAATTTTTGTATTTTCTTTAAATATATTCTTATCTAATTAGATTTTATTTTATTAAAAAAAACTCGTAATAAATAGATAAATAGGTCAAATGTGTTAGAGTTTTATAGAAACTCTTTTAAAAACTTTTTTTATATCAATTAATAAATATTTCTTTTTATATTAATAATTGTTCTCTAATTAGATTTTCTTTTATTAAAAAACTCAAATAAAAGGTAATTTGTGCTACTAACAGGCATGTGGTATAGTGGGTCTTGGTCAAGGGTTCAAACCTCAGTAGAGACAGTGTGTGTGAGTACCCAACTAAGAACGAAAAAAGATAAAAAAAAAAAAGGGTAATTTGTGGTAAAGTTTTAGAAAAATTATTTTATTTTTTAATTCAATTAATAAATATTTTTATATTAATAATTATTGTCTAATTAGATTTTCTTTTATTAAAAAACACATAATAAATTGATAAATAAGTAATTTGTGTTAGAGTTTTATAGAAACTCTTTTAAAATCTCTTTTTATATCAATTAATAAATATTTTTTTATATTAATTTTTTTTTTGTCTAATTAGATTTTCTTTCATTAAAATACTAAATAGATAATTTGTGTTAGAGTTTTATAAAAACTCTTTAAATATATCATTGTATAATGTGATAGAGTTTTATTGAAAATAAAATATCTAATTTGTGGTATAGTTTTATACAAATTATGTTATTTTTTAAAAAATATCCTAGTCTAATTAGATTTCATTTTATTCATAAACTCAAAATAAAAGGTAATTTGTGGTAGAGTATTAGAGAAATTATATTATTTTTTATATCAATTAATAAATATTTTTTTTATATTAGTAATTTTTGTCTAATTAGATTTCCTTTTATTAAAAAACTCATTACAAATAGATAAATAGGTAATTTGTGTTAAAGTTTTATTGAAACTGTTTTAAAAACTTCTTTTATATCAATTAATTAATATTTTTTATTTCTATTTTGAAATAAATATTTAGATAATTTGAATTTTATTAGGTGATTTTAATTTGAATTTTATTATGTAATTTGAAATAAATTTTTAGGGATTTTCAATTTTTTTTAGGTAATTCGTAATTTGAATTTTATGAAAACACTTTTATAAAAGTATTAGGTAATTTGTAATTTGAATTTTATAAGATAATTTGAAATAATTTTTTGAGGTAATATGTTTTTCAACTAATAAATATTTTTTTATATTAATAAATAAATACTAAAACACATATTTGAATTTTATTAAGTAATAATTTGTGGTAGAGTTTTAGAGAAATTGTTTTATTTTTAATATCAATTATTTTATTTTTAATAACAGAT